GGCCCTGGAATATTGCCCAGGGAGGTGGGGGAGTCACCATCCCTGGAAGTGCTTCAGAGGCATCTGGACCTGGTGCTGGAGGATATGGCTTAGGGTTTAGGGGTTAAAGCAGAGTGGCAAATAATGGCTGGACTTGATCTCAGGGGCCTCCTTCAACCTGGATTATTCTATATATAATACTAGCAATGTCAGGTGGTCAATGAAGACGTTGCAAGAAATGCAAGATAGAAATCAGAAAGCATAAGAATCATTTCATTGATAGTGAATATCAAATGGCCTAAAATATATTCACATAATAACTGTCCTGGGTTTTAAAGGACCAGGTTTGGAGTTTTGCTAGTGTTAAATTGAACACCTATTTTTGAGTAGTGATCTGATTAGATAGAGCATGATTCATCATTATCTTGTGACAGGATAGGGCTCCATCAGCTGCAGTAGGGCTACGGTGACTTCTACCACCTAAGGAATGAAACAGTCCAAGAAGTAGTGACTGTGACTTTTTGCCATTTCAGTCTGTTCTGTCTGCTCTAAAGAAGCTTACATCATGTATCTGTGGTGAACACATATGCCCTGGATCCATGGAAGAAAAACAGACTTGTTAGCCTGAGGCTAAAACATTCTCGGTCCAATGACTGTGGCAATAAACTATTCATATGCTCTCTTTCCTGGTGCAGCTCTGACTGAAAGTGTGTGTTAGCAGGAGCAACTTCCACGTTAGGATCTGCTGTGGAAAGGCCAAGCAGCTGCCAGCAGGGAATCAAACTCTCTCGCTATTGCTCTTGAGCTTATGATTACATTACGGCAAATGAATGCATTAAAGCTCATGGGAGATAAACCGAAGCCACGGTTTACTCTGAAACCTGTGAAGCTGAGCCATGGTAGGGAGCAGCTAAGGCAGAGAAATTTAGTTCAAGAAAGATATTTATGAAATACCTGTCATATTACTTAAGCTTTGGGAAGTTTTGGTTCATTAAAAACTGTCAGATTTCACAGTTGTCATTCCTTTATCAAAAGAATTGTAAGTGGGTTAAGCACAGGTATGTGTTTCTTGTTCTACAGTGTTGTATATGCAAAGGGAAAAAAAACACTTGAAAATTCTGTACTTTCCAATATATTAAGATTTTAATAACATAGATCCAACTTTCATTGTTTTTAGCCTGAAAACATTATGCTTCTAGACAAGAATATCCCTATTCCACACATCAAACTCATTGACTTTGGTCTGGCTCACAAAATAGAAGATGGAGTTGAATTTAAAAACATTTTTGGAACTCCAGAGTTTGTAGGTGAGTGATATGTTCCTTTGTCTTGTATTGCAAGTTCCATGAGGAGGTTGAGACATCTTGTCAAAACTAAGCAATGAGGTAGTTTGTGTAGATAGAGGTAGTTTCAGTCTCATTTCTGTCAAGGTGACTTAAATCTACAGGTTGACTTTGTTTTTCTGGAATAGGCAAAATCTTTCTATAAACCAGATGTGCTATTCCTGTGTGGGGAGGCTGCTGCCAAGTAAACAGTTAAGAGGTGTAAACTCAGGATTGAGATTGTGAAACTCTGCAAATACAAATTGTAACTTTTTTCCTTGTTGCCTGGGGTAAGTAGATCTTTCTACATTGAGGCATATGAGTACACAATTCCATGGGTCTCTCTATCATTGCTTTCTAGATAAAAGTGCCTCACACTGTACACCTGCTGAGTATAAAACCCTCACCTCCCCTTACATTTTTCCACCTGATTCGCTTTTTGTTCCTCGCTGATGATAATTCTAATCTGTCTCATTTGAATTTTAGGTTAATCCTACTCCTTTCTACTAGTTTCAGTCAGAGGTTTGAGGGTTGGTTTGGGGGTAGAAGGGCATTGCACTAATGTAGTTAAACACCACTGTTACAGATACCTTTTTTCACCTCATTACTTCAGCCTTGCTCTTTCCTCTTGCATGCAGTCTTACATGGGGATGTTTTCCAATGAGGAAATGTTTCTTATAAAGATAATAGAGCTTGATTTGGATAGCAATGTAGTCTGGCAAGTAATTTCAACCTCTTGCTCAAGGGCTTTTTCTGACTGGCCTTTACAAACTTGCTATAATGGCACTAGTTAAAAAAAGAAACCACAAAAGCTCAGATTCTTAGGAGCAACAGCGTTCTTGGGAAGTGAAATAGTTGTTTATCATTTGCACTGTAATTAGTTTTCCCCTTATTCCTGAGGTTCATTATGCTCCAAGTTACTCTACACACTCTCTTCTGAACAGCTGTGAACTTGAACTCCTGTTTGGGCTATAAAACTATAAACAATTCACCCTATAACTTTTCCCTCTCCCCCTTTCTCCCTCTTGGTAATTCTTGACCTGCTACTCAATTCAGCCTGGCAAAAATTTGTTACCTCCATTGCTGATGGTTGATTAAATTTTTCAGCTCCAGAAATTGTAAACTATGAGCCACTTGGACTAGCTGCAGATATGTGGTAAGTTTTTTAACATGCTTGTATTTCTTTTCCAGATTGCTCTGCAATTACTTTTTACTGTTTTGCTCTGAATAAAATCAATTGCACTACAACAAATTAAAGGCAAAACAAAAAACCTTAAATCCAGCTATTAACTCTTTGTTCCATCTTTATGCATTTTCTGTAATTTCTTTATGTAATTTCTGTAAAATTACAATGAAAAACTTGAATTATGGCAGTTACAGAGTTAACTGCCACTGTCCACAGCAGGGGAACACTCTTAAAAGCAAACATGTTCCTGCAGTGCTTGGGACAGCTTCATGCAGAGGAGACCTGTGTACTGATCTCATCTGCTGAGAAGAGAGGCAGACGAGGTCACCCCAAATCAAACATCCTTGCTTCTGTTCCTCTGTGTGTCTGATGTGTACTGTGGTAAATGCCCACTGGAGTAGAAATACATAGAATTTCAAATATCAACATTACTTGGTGTTTTATATATAACTTTTTTTTTCCCCCTGGAACACCCTTCTGTAAGAGAGAGGTTTGCAGTTATCTAAAGCTACAATAGCTCTCCTGCCTGTATAGCAGCTACTATTGACTTTTTCATATTCTGCACATTAGGAAGAATACAGGTCATGCAGAACCCCTGCAACTCATCTTCTTTGTTTTTTAGGAGCATAGGAGTCATCACCTACATACTGTGAGTATAACAGATTCGCTCCTGTAGAAATGTTCCTAAAACTAGTTGCACAAAACTAGTTCCTAAACACTAGTGCAAAACAGCTCTTCACTTGAGCCATTTAAGGACACACCTGCACACACGTGGTGGGCAGTGGATTGTTTCGTGGACACACGTTATCCTGCAGGCTTTTCAAGTTTAAAACAAGGGCTGAAAGAAGAGGGGCATTCTGAGGTGACTAAGAACAAATATCCCTGGCATCACTGCGTGTTTATGCTTCTTATGGGACCTCCTTGGCTCCAAATGTTAGAGGATGGAAAACACAAGCATACTGATCATGGAATGACTGTGGGCTACCAGCATGTGGAAGGAATAGAGATAGGAAATTTACCATATATGAGGTGTGTTATTTTGAGTGGAAACAGGTAACTCTCAATTTGCTTGTAAAGGCAGCAGTCTACATTATTATGCATAAATATGGTCACACATATTCAAAAAGGTGATTTCAAGGTGGAAGAGGAGCAGAGAAGTTGACCCTGGGAACTGAAAATTGAACTTACAGGAGAGAAAAAAGGGCTGGTTAAAGCTAGTAAAGCCACAGGCTGGTTGGAGATAACATTATAGTCAGGAAGCACAAAGGAAAAATCACAGAATACTTTTAAGATACTTTTTGGAAGAAAAATGTGTCAACTGGTGATGAATAAATAAACAGAGGATATGACAAGCTCAGGCTCTCAGAGAAATGAGTTTCTGTGGGCATCTGGGGACACACAGTTGAGTTTTCAGATGGAGCTTGACAGTTTGTGAAACTGCTTGTGTGACAATGGACATATGCAACAGAGGGACAGCACTCCTTGCTTTCCTCTGGTTTGATATGATAATTATAGAAATGGTCAATGATCCTTGGACCCTACTGCTTCCTCTGAAGTTAAGCTCTTGTGTTCCCTGCAGCACGTGGTGGATACTGCGTGCTGGGAAATGTCTCACCCTGGGCTTCTGCTATTCCTTATGGTGCCAGCTTGCTGCCAAACTTAAAGAAGATGGGCTCTAGTATCAGGGGGATTTGCACTACACAGCTCAGGGCTCAGAACAAGTATGGAGGCTTGAAGGGGAGGGATTGTCTTTTCAATGTGGAAAATACATGCAGTGGAATTAAATCCACTCTCGGGCTCTACCGAAGGCTTAGATGCCAAATGCTGTAAAAGAGGTATGGTCTGAGAAACCAGATTCAGTGCAACAAGTTCCCATCTTTGCTGCAGTGCAGAAAAAGGTAGGGATACTGGCTGAGCCTAAGCTCAGCTAAAAGAGTTTCAAATGTTGTCCAGACCCTTGTTTTTATCATCACTCTGGTGTTCAATGACATATGTACTTGCTAGGATATTAAACTTTGTAACTTGCTCTTTATGGGTGTTCATAAACGACGAGAGGAAAACTTAGGAGTTGAGGATAAGCAGGTGGGAATGCTCACCACGTGATTAGTGATGCTCAGAGCCAGCTGCTCTTGAGGGTTTTCAGTTGCATTGAGGGTACTGTGCTGGGGTAGAGTGACAGAGAGGATTTCTGTACTGCATCGAGTGTAGGAGACCTGCTTTGCCTGCTTGATGCCACAGTGATTAAGGTTGAAAAATGTCTCCCTACAAATGGTCAGAAAAAAGAGCATGCTTTTTATGATGGGAGGGGTCAGCTTGCATCATAGGCTATGGGCTAGATATTTGTGTGCCTTTAACTGGTATTGCCTGTTAATTTTAAAACCTTTGATTCTGAAGTATTCTGGGTAAGTGACGTGTGTTAATGATACCACCTTCTTTAGCAAACGTGGCAGCAGTCAAATGGAAGCCACCATCAGGAGTAGAGATCAAAATGCATGCAAGTCCTCAGTTCAGTAACCAGGGGAGTGATTCACCGGGTTTTGAGGGCAAAGCCTTTATTACTGAGGTCAGCTGTTACATGCTTACAGGCACTGAGTCAGCGTATGACAAAAGTCATTTGCATCAGGTACTAGGATTTGAGAGTCCTCCTGTTTCACAGACCTCAAAACTGAGTCCCAAAGAGAAAAAAAAATAAAAGTCAAAGAACAGAACACTGTTGGCTTTGGCTTTGGGGCGAAAAGGTATAATTACAGCTACTTCACGGTACGGGAAAAGGAAAAGAAACCAAGGCTCTAGGGCAGGTTTCCAAGCTCTAGTTTTGGAACAACGCCCATGGTGTGTGGTGGGGTGCCTGCTGGTAGCCTTCTTTGTGGCCAGCAGAAATGGAACAAAAGCTTAAGATGGAGTATGTAAAACCTGTTAAGAAGTGAGACTGACTGTGGTTAATGGGATGAAATTTACTGCATTGAAGACAACGGAAGGACCTCACTCATGCTGCCTTGCTGTGTCAGATGCATTGTACAAAACAGTTTTATGCACTCAAATATTTGTTCTGTGGATAAACCACATGTGGTAGCTGGGGATTGGGCTGAAAGGTTCAGGTGGTCCCATCTAACTTCCTGCTTACCTCCCAAAACTCCTAGCAAACACTACCATGTTGGTAGTGGCAGTGCAGACAGGGCGAAAGGTCTGTTGAGCAGGAACACCTAAGCAAATGGTTTAGTATGCAAAACTTCCATTTAGATCCCAGGAGTTTGCTGCAGTCCTGTTTTGAACCTGCTGCATCCTCAAACTATGCCATCAAAGCTGGATGTAACAGGTAAGAACGGTAATAGTCCAATAGATTTTTAAAGAAGGATGAGATCGATTTCCTTGGTATAAATAACATTTCCTGGAAGCCAGACTTTTGCAAGGCAGCATCCCTGTGTATTCAGGGAGGGAGTAACCAGGAGGAAAGGCAGGGCAGGAGGACTCTGCAATGACTGTGTTCTGACACAGCAAAGGTAAATAGTCATCAAAGATGAAGGTCCATGGTCGCAGTTAAGAGACAGGCAAAGCAGGAGCAAAGCTTTTTCTTAAGTGAAGATTGCTAGATGGCATTTTGTTATGATGATGTCTTCATTATATCCTTGCAGGGTGTAAGCAGAATGAAACTTTGCATTGTTCAGAAACAGCTGGATTTTATTGCAGCCAAAGTCCTTTTGTTTGTGGACTCCTTTTATTGAGCAGCATGGCCAGTGGAGTTGACCCCTAGGCAAGGCCACATGCCTGACTTGGGATCACACACTGTATTTTAGTTCCAGCTGAGAAAGGACTCTTGGCTGAACCCACTGTGCAGGGAACTTGTCAGTAGCTTTGCAGACAGAAAATAAGTAGGGGCAGGGCTTTTCCTACCTGAAGTAAATCTGCTTGAAGGTGATAGAAGCTTCAGCCTGGTAGTGTTTATGGGTTCACAGGGATAGAGATTTTCCTCAGCTGAAGCTTTTATAGTTTGATTTGTGATGACTCACATGAGACACTTGGGAGAATCTGTGTATTTCTACCTGTGTGCATGCATTAGTGCTACACTAGAGACTTTCAAGATGAGTCTGATGCATGACCATAGATGTAGGGAGCCAGAGCTGACTCTACTATTTCCCACATGGCATAGCTACTGCAACACCAGCGCCACAGATGTCCTAGAGAGTATATTACGTGGTCACTGTAATTTCATTAGGGCACTTGTGCTGTTTAATTTTTCAACTGACTCTTCTTTCTGGTTTATGTAGGCTCAGTGGTGCATCGCCTTTCCTTGGAGAAACTAAACAAGAAACACTTGCCAACATCACAGCTGTGAACTATGATTTTGATGAAGAATTTTTCAGCAATACCAGTGCCCTGGCAAAAGATTTCATTCAGAAACTCCTGGTGAAAGATACACGGTAAACAAAATCTTAAAGACCCATTTGTCTCTAAAATAATCTTAGTGAATTGTAACCTGAGGAGTAATGTGCAAAGCTTTCTTTGCAGTGTGTATATTGCCATTCAAGAGCAAGACAGGAGGATGCTGCTGTGCCCCTAGTTAATCACTGCACCCAGAAACCCTAAGGAAAGTAACCAAATCTCCTCAGTCAAATTTCACATTCAGGACTGAATTCTCACTTGAGTCAGGCTGGTAGAACAGTAGCTGAAGGGCAGAAAATGGTGTACAGAGGCTCGAGTTCAGGGTAACTACCACTCCACCATTTCAGTCTACTGCAAGGAGGTGATATCATCCCAGAATATGCTCCCAGTGGTGCAGTGTCAGAGAAATCTTTACCTGTGCTGATACTGGAATTGTTATGTGCCTCTGCATCTGTGGCAATCACCTAGAGTTTGTGTAACAGCTATGCAGGTCTTTATTCCAAATTTGTGCACCACAGATATTTTTTAGTTTTTCTTGCTTTAAACAACACGCATGCAGAAGTAGCATCTCCTTCTCTGTAATCTTCTTGTCCTGGAGGGAAGTCAGGCCATTGTGGTTCTCTCTAATAGCTTCATTAGGGGAGAAAACAGCTATGAGGGAGAGAGAGAACTGTTTGGCAAAGACCTCTGCAAACCACGAGGCCTCAGTGTAGGGTGGAGTAGGTAGGGTTTGGTGAGAGGTTTGCACAGGTCTAGCAGCCTCCTTTGAAGAAAGAAGTCAGTGACATTGATATTTGTCCCACGTCCAGAGTTGGTCCCTGTGCAATGCTGCGTTTCTGTCTTTGATTCTCACTGCTCTGATGTGCTGTTCACCACACTGCTGCAATGCAGAATGAAGTTAGGATTGAGCAAGTTTGGTTAGGTTTGAAGTATTCCTCTCAGAAATGTTCCTCTCAGGAAACGGCAGCTCCTGCAGCGATGTAATGTCATGGCCAGGGGACAGCTTTGCTAGAGTTACTGTTGTGTATATTGATTCAGACACAGTTGTACCAAAGGTGCATTGCAAGAATTTATTTTCTAAGCACGTTGGATGAGTGAAACAAAGAGTGCACAGAAATACAGGTAGATTTTGATCAAGTAAGAATGAAAATTGAGTGGAGTGAGGACAGTTAGTTACTGAGGTTTAGAACAGTAACTAAGCTACATTCAGGCAGTGTGGCTCGGGGAGAACCACAGCCCTGAGATCTGGGAGCTTGTCCTGGCATCATCTTGACAAATGCTTTGTAGGAAGCCTGGGAGAAGTGAAGTGTGGACCAAAGGACTCATGTACCACCTATTTCTCATTTGGGTCTGTGTTGGATTTTTGTTGTTTTTCCCTCAGGAAGAGGCTTACCATCCAGGAAGCTCTGTCTCATCCGTGGATAACGGTAAGAGCAACTAAAGAAACGGGTCTTGCATTTTGCCGTGAGCAGAGGTCATATTCTCACTCTTCTTGGGATGCTGAACAGAAAACTGCCCCCTAAGTTAGTGACCCTGGGTGCCTCAAAGAGGTGTGCTGGGAAGAAATTGGTTGGGTCTGACTAAACCCTTGGATTTCTGCAAATGACTCCTTTTGTTATCACGACTTTCAAAAGGAGGGTGGCAAAGCCTCTGTGTGTGTATTGCACATTTCAGTATCCCATATTGAACTAGGCTTTGCATTTTTCCATCCTTCTCTGTTTGCATGGACATATACTGTGTGTTGTGTTCAGTGATTTCTTGAACTGAGAGTTGACTGCAGTCAGTATGGAAAAACCATTTGTCTCAAGAGAACGGCTGTACCGCGTGTGCTGATGTGCTTACATCCCTGTGGCCGTATGTATTTTCTCATCACAAACATCACTTGCACGTGTCAATAAGTCTCTTCTTGAAAATACATTTAGCTAATCTCAGCATGACTACCGAGGATTTCTGAAATTCAGTTTTTGCTTTGCATTGCACAAAACATTAATTTTAGTGTTTTTAGAGTTGTTTTTCTTTCAAATATTCTCTTCTCTTACAATTATTGATAGCTTTGACACTGCTAACTGCTAAAAATTAACATGAAAATAAGTCGTAGCCACGTTATTTGCACTTAGCACGATGGAATTAATGCACATCACTTGTCACATTTGGTTTTGGGCTGGTGTGTTTGGTAGTTTTTTTCTTTTAATCCAATGCATGAAGGAAAATCTGTGTGAGCAGAGAATCCCCCAGCATCGTGGAAGTTCAGGCTGCATTGTTTGTGTAGAGGTTTTGAATTACTGCACTGTCCTGTAAACATTCAGTAATATTGGTTCCTCTGTCTGACGACTCACCAGCTGAAAGAAGAAACTCACGTCCAAGAAAACCAGAAGGTTGAGAACACACAGCTGAAGACAAAACGCCTCAGAGAGTACACCATAAAGTGCCATTCAAGTATGCCTCCCAACAACACCTACATCAACTTTGAGCGCTTTGCCCAGGTAGTAGAAGACATTTCACGTACGGAACAGGGTTTCAGCACTTTGGCTGCATCCCACGATTCCCTGCAGGAGGACATCGAGGCTCTGCTTTCCATTTATAATGAGAAAGAAGCTTGGTATAAAGAAGAGAATGAAAGCGTGAGACACAAGCTGTCCCAGCTGAAGTATGAATGCCGTAAAATCGAGTCCCTGAAGAGACACTTACAAGATGATATCAAGGCTGTAGGCACCAATCTTACGGGCATGGCTGGGAAATACGCCGAGCTGCAGGGTCACTATGACTGTCTCAGACAAGAGGTTTCTGAGGAACTCAAGTGGATACAGGATCTAATGAGTAGTTTTCAACTGGAAAATGAAGCCTGTGTGAACAGAAACTTTGACTCTGTTTTCAGCAAAGATATTAATGAATCACTAATGGAGCTGCTAAATAGATCTTGCTCTGAAGAATTCCTTGCGGGGTTGAATCTTGACATGGCAGAATCCAATCAGTAATGCTGAGATCAGGCTAGGTGCAGGGTTTGCTGCCTGTTTGAATGTACCTAAGGTTAAAAAGGTTTCAGTGCACAGATTCTGCACAAAAACATCACCTAGAATTGAAGTGGAAGTTCGGCTGCATCGCACAAGATGCTGACCAAAGCCAGAATCTCCCAGCAGTCTGTAGTACTGAAGGGCTTTGTAACTTGTTAGGTGTCTAAGCTTGCAGGAACAAGAGTATCACAGTGGTATGGACACATGTAACCCTACAGCTCTTGGTATTGTGTATATCATACTGCATTGTGTGTTACAGTTCCTGAAGATTGCTAAGTAACTTACTTGGAATAAAGAATAAGCCAGTCTGCATTTGCTAGAATTTGGATGCTTGGAAACTAATAACAAAAATCTCATTATAGTATCTTTGTCTGGCCGAAGGAAACAGTTCTGTAGCCCTGCTGCAGGCAGTCCTATAGACAGTATGACAGAAATATCTGCAAAGGTTAGATCTGCCCTGCAAAACAAAGAAAATGGTGTAGTAGTTTAACATTTAGCTACTGCTGTGGAAATTCTCTGTGAAATGGCTGCCAACAAAGAGAAGGTAAAGTCTTTTGCCATCAAAGGTGTTAGCTGTTGATAGCTTAAAATTCAGCTAAGTTTCCTATCCTATGCCAAAGAAATGCTATTCAAAAGACACCATTAGGAATTTAGAGTGAAATGATCAAATAACTGGTAATTTTACAGTGCAATTATTGATTTGTGACTGGTAAGTGATAACATAGTGCTCTGGTTTGTTTTCTATGGTGAAGAAGATGACAAAGCTAGAACTAACATAATCTACATGGGATTTGAGACTAGTGTTCTTGCTGTAAAGATTTTTTTTCTTAAGCTTCAGAAAGTAAAAGTTGGCTCAACTTGAATATGTTCTGCTGTCTTGTGCTTCAAAGAAGTCATTTGGTTATAGTGTGTCAATATGCACAGATGTACACGTCTCGGTTGTGGACACAATAAATAGCTCTTTATGCAGGATGCAATTGTTCCCTGATGGTTAGTTAGCAACTGGCAAAGATTGTCAAGCTTCTGTGTGCTGAAAAGAGTTGCTGGTTCAGGCTCTGCAGCCAGTTTGCAGCCCCTGTGATTAGCTGTGGGCGTTTGCTGCAGGAATCAGTGAGTATGGCTTTCACTGTCCTGCCTCCCTCCTCCTCCTTCAGAGAAGTTAATGACGTAAATAAACTGAATTCTTGTTTCTAGCATGGTTAGGAATAATGTTTCCTCCTTTGAGACAAAAAGATCAAAGCATACTCTCCTCCACTTCGTGCAGAGCACAGTGGCCCCATTGCTGCCGTGTCCTCATGAAGGTGTGCAGAGGCTGGTGAGAATTCAGCGTTGTTCAGTTGGGGTATTGGCCCCTGTCATTGTACTCGCTGGAGGATGGAAACTCTCTGTGCTCCCTGTGGCATCATTCTTGGCACAAGATGTAAACTTTTCCAAAGCTTCAAAGTAGTGCAGATATCCAGGATATGACCCTAGCAGGCTGATGGTGGTGGCTGGCTGGGGAGAATTGGGCTCTACTGTGACCAGTAGTATTGAGAATGTTGTGTGTGTCCATTTTTTTATTGTCTCAGAACATTCAATCGTCACTTCTGCAGGTTCCTTTGAGCTGGAAGACCCATGAGATTAGATTCCAGGGGAATCAAAACACAGGATTTTTTTATGAGGGGGAGAGTCTTAATCCTTAAAATATAACTTAAAGCCTAGTGAGAGTATTTGCAGAAAACACTCAAGAAAGAGTCTGCTGTCCCTCAGCCATGATCTCATATTCTTTGCTCATACAGATTTTCTTGATGAACAAATGCACTAGCTTGATGAGAAGGAATATTAATGAGTCCACTCTATTCCTGAACACGTTTGGGTGAGGGCAGTGTTGTTGTGACTTGGTCCTTCAGGATTGTGCCCTCTGGGCTGAAGGAGGTCCCTGACATGCTGCTTCTGAGAAGATATTGTGATGATGGAGACAATACCAAGGTCACTGGCTTGCAGGATACTTAGAAATGGAGGGGCAGGTACTGACAGTCTGGAGTGAAGTGAATGATTTAGGCTGAGCCATGGTTCTGCTGCTGGGAGGGGACTGAGAAATTTGACACTGTGATTGTACAGCTGACATTTAGCCAGTGACATTTTCTCCACTTCAGATTGATTTTGACTAATATGTTGCACCATGCTAGCTGTTTGCAGCAGGAGGAAATGATATTTAATGCTTAGCTGTCCCAGTTCTGTTGTATGCAAATGGTGTATGCATCTGAATGAGAAAGGGCCCAGCTGATAGCTTGGCTCCTTGAATTGCTGCTGAGGTATCTGCACAAATGCTATATCTACAGCATTTGATGAGGAAAAGTTCATTTGTTGTCCCATAAGCATTTTCAATTATTTTGCTGAAAAAAACTGTTTAAATCCTCACTGATGTGTTTTCCGTTCTCCTTTGGTACTCTTGCTGCTTCAGTACGTGTCTTGATTGCATTCCAGTCCAGTCCAGCACAAATATTTCTGTGCTATCCACCTCCCACACATGCAGATCAGAACTGCTGGACTGGCTGTCACTCCATAAACTCCATAATTTTGGAGGGCTGATTCCTGGCCTTTCTCTTTTACCAGGTCTGGGTTTGAGCCTTTTTGTCTCTCAATCTCTTAGATATGTTGTTCTGGTTTATGCAAATTTTGATGTTCTTTTGGAGTTGAAATGTGCTTCATTTTCAGAAGGACTTTGCCAGGATTTGTGGAACATCTGTTCCCTAACATCAGATTGACATCCCACAGTGCTGGGCGCATGTCTGAATTCCGATACATATTCTTTTTTTCTTCCTGTATTTCCATAGTCAGGTATTGCAATTCTTTCCTCATGTATTTATTGGCAGGATATCGATGTCTGATGCTCTCATACTCCAGGTATGGGTAAAGGACAAAGCCAGAGTTTTTTCAGATAGCATGCATCTTTGTCACTAGTACCAGATGACAACTCACTTTTTCCCATTTTAATATAGTAATGCCATCCAGAGAGAAATGGATGTGCAGGTGTGCACCGAGAAGCACCTTAACAACTTTACAAAGTGAAAGCATAGCCTTAGTACCCTCTAGTTTTAGGATTTTGTTTGAGATCAAAGGGATTCTGTCCAGGCACAGGGTGGACTAGATTTAATCATTTTTCTTCTGCTTTTCCCAGCCAACATTCTTTCAGCCGGCTCCAGTGCACGTGAGGAATCTTGCGCATTTTATGCACCAAAGGGAGCCAGAGAATAAAATTTCTCTCGTGTCTTCCAGCCCGTGGACAAGCAACAGGCTTTGGTTCGGAAAGCATCTGCCGTTAACATGGAAAACTTCAAGCGGCAATACGCGCGGAGGCGATGGAGGGTGAGTCTTACGCTTCTCACCTCTGGCTTCCCGAGCCCGGTGGGATCGAACGTGAGAGGGGAATGGCAGGAGGTACATGAAATGTATTTGGATGTCTGCCCTGGATGTGTGTGGTCATGTTGTCATTCCTCCCTCTCTCCATAGCTTTCTTACCGCGTCGTCTCGTTGTGCAACCTCCTGTCTCGTGCGCTGGTGGAAAAGGGCCTAATACAGGATGAAAGTTCGGTGGGTACGTTTGCTAAATGGGGAGAAGGGAAGAACCAGTTGTACAGTGCAGTGATTTTTGCTGTCCTTACATGGATTCACAGCCCAATAGGACAGCAATGATTTTGAGTGGGAAACTAGGTGGGACCACGGCATTCTTTGTGTCTTTAATGCTGCTCTACATTCTGTTACTGTGACAGAGTTTGCTGCTGATCTTGTGTCCAGCTGTGTGATGGAGGGTGAGGGTGTGACCTCCTCCTGTGAGAGGTCTATTAGCTCCTCTTCTGTGAGAGTTCTACTAGCTCTGCTTTTCTCAACAGATGGCATTATATGATTTATAGATATCGTTTAAGATCAATATATGATATGATAATAGAACATCATGGTGAAGAGTTTGGTATCTCATTTACGTGACTGAGACACTGTGGTCTTTCTATTTCAGAGCAACTGTGACAGTGACAGTGAGGACCCTTCACAAAGAGAAGCTCCTCATCAGAGGAGAAGCAGCATATCATAATGTGAGGAGAGCCCCATGGGCAGGAGACAGAGGAAACTTTCATCCTTGCTGAAGAAAGCAGTCCTGGCAGCAGACCTTGACATCTTGTCTGAGTCCTTGTAGGATGCTTCTTGCTCCTCGAACTGCACCAACAGCTGGATGATGGTATTAAATGCCTACTGAGCATTTTAGGAAACTGGGGATCAAGATTCCCAGGGAAATGCCACAGCACGAGCACTGACTGAAGTGCTTTTATGTGTTGAGTTTTTCAGTGATACTTCAGTCTATTTGTGATGCTGAGATTTTCAGTGATACTTCAGTCTATTTGTGATGTCAGCTGCACTTGGGGTGTAGGGTTTCTACGGCTGTTCTTTCACTGCAGAATGATTATGCAATTTTAATATTTGTTGATAGCACAAATATTTGATGGCAAATATGTGACAGGTTTTGTTAGCTGTGTGCAGTACTCTCTTATTGCTGTAATTGAAGAGAAAATCATAATGCCATTACATATCATAACCCTGATTTTGTGAACCTAGAAGTAAACTGTTCTGTATTGTAACAAGAACTGTGCTCTGGCCGTTGCCTCTGGCTGAGGACTTACACAGCTCCCACTGTCAGTGTGAGTACAACCAGCTCTGGCCTCTGAGAGAGTGAGGCAGACCAGGGCAATTTTTGGATGAAAAAGAGAAAAAAGTACTGTAGTGACTTACATGCACCCAAATACAACATTTTTAGAGAATGATGGCAGGATGCTTCACCAAAACATGGCATTAAAAAACCCAAGGTATGGGAAGAAACAGTCTTTGTTAGACTACTATTGTCAACGTTATTTATCGTCAGCAAATCAGAGACTCGTTAACACCTGTTTTATAGGCATGGTTTACATGTACCCCAGACTGCAAACATCTGTGTTTTATTCAGGGGGTTGTATTCAAAACTGAGGAAGTAAGCACTTTGATACTGATGTAATGTCTTTTGGCTGGGAAGTTGCATAATATTAACTGTATAAAGTTTCTAAGCCAGTATTGTTCAATTGGTACCAAATAATGTGCATAGATTAGGCCATTGTTTTCATTGAATGTATCTGTTGTTGGAAGGTCATACTTATTTCACCATTTAACAAACTAAAAATCAGAAATCTCTGTTAGAGACGACTACGGATGGACGAGGAAACTGGGGAGGTTTGGCTTTGTACTTGCCACTGAGGGGCTGAGGCTTTAGAGAGGGAGGTGTGAACTGGTGTTAAAAGCTAGTTCAGGTTAATTTTGGTGGCTTCCAGTTTCTAAGAAAGAAATAAAAATATGCTACGTTAATTTGTGACTTTGTATTCCTGCTCAGGTAGAGACTGAAATACAGTTGATGAGAAAGTATTTTTGTGAAAGGAAGGGAAGCGTGTGAGAAGCATTGGAGGAGAGAGAGACAGAAAGGAGGATTTAATGGAAGAAACATAAAATGAAGGAGGTGGGGGAATTAAAAAAAGCAGTGGAGGGGAATGAGTACGAGAGGGACATAGAGAGGGTTGAAGGTGGTCCTGGCCTGGGAAGGCTGAAGGACAGGAAAGAGAATGTAGTTATAGGAATTGTGGCAGCAGGAAGTGAATGTTTCTGCAATTATGGTGCTGCATTTTGATACTTTTTATTTAATTTCCTTTTGTTTCATGTCTTGTGTTGCTATAGCCTGTGACGTGCCTGGTCAAGGGATAAGGAGCAGGGCATGGGCTTCGCTTCACATTCAATTAAAAGGTGCATTTCTGAGCTTTCTGTGTAATTTTTGAGGCAGAATCCTCAAAAAGTGCTGTAGTAATGGATGTATTAAGAGGGAATAGTGAGAGGAAAACCTGTTGTTCCAGCTGGAATAGAGTTAATTTTCTTCTTAGTAGCTGGTACAGTGCTGTGCTTCGGATTCAGTGTGAGAATAATGTGATAACAGGCTGATGTTTTAGTTGTTGCTAGGTAGTGTTGACCCGAAGTCAAGGACATTCCAGTTTCCCCTGCTCTGTTGGTGAGGAGGGAGCATGGCCAGGACAGCTGACCCAAACTGCTCAAAGGGATGTTCCAGACCATGGAATGTGGTGCTCAGCTATCAGCTGGAGCCACGAGTCTCTGCTCAGGGCTGGGCACAGGTCAGTGGGTGGTGAGCACATGTATCCTGCATGGCTTGTCTTCCTCGGGTTTTACTCCTCTCTCTTTTCCTTTTCATGATTATTAACTATTATTCTAATACTTTGCTTTAGTTCAATTACAAGGCTGTTCTTGTCTCAAAGTCACCCATGAGGTTTACTTTCTATTCTCTTCCCCAGGAGCGTGTGCATGGCTGCGTGGTGCCCATTTGCAGACAGGGTTACACCATGACACAGTGTCTGGAGGGAATCTTTCAGAAACAGAACACTAAAAATATATATTTAGATACAAAGCTGCCCAGCTTACCTACCAGGCTTTGCTTCCTGCTTTCCCTGGGATATGGAAAACCAAATAAATTCCAAGCCAGTGATACTTTTCTGCATTTCCGGAGTTACAAAACACCTTCAGGTTCTGGGATGTGTATGTAAATTGCACTTCTGAAAATTAGACACTGGTTAAAACAGCTGTTAGGTTTCTGGATCAGGATTGTTGTCTCAGGGAGACGAGGTCATTCCTCTTGTGAAATCCGAGCGACAGTTGAGCAAGAACGCGGCGGAAAGGCAGACAGAGGAGCTCAAGGCCGTGTGAGGCTGGAAGCTCTGGCTTTTTAACTCTGCATTAATGCAAGACACAAGATGGTGTTTCAACAGGAGCGTTGCAGGCAGCTCACGGTGTTTGGTCTTCAGTCACCTTTGTGTGCAGGTGAGCAGGGACAGGACTGCTGGCTCAGGTACAGGGTTGGCCTTTCCCTCCGACCCCCACGGCGTGTGGAGCTCCTGTGCTGGGGACGAACGCGTGTCCCTCGCGGTGGGTTTGGCAGTTTGTGTTCCCAGGTGGTGTTGGCTGTGTCTCAGCTGTCTGTCCATCCCTCGGGGAGCGGCGCTGGCCGGGCCTGGGCCGTGTGGGGCAGGCGAAGGACGAGAGCCCTGCGAGGGGAGATGTGATGCACCGCACTGAGACGGTTCACGTTACGCAATTTACATTGGCGCAGGAGAAAAATTATTTCTGTATATTATTCCTGAGCGGTAGGGAACCTGGAGAGACACGAAGCGATATTCTGTGGGGAAAAAAAGACAAGGGTTTTTAAATTAAAATATGACTATTTTTATTCTTATTTCAGCAGTGATGTTTTTTGATCTACATATGTTTTTATGAAGATAAATACTGGGGGGAGTTGTGCCTTGGAAATTGTACAGACTGTCAAAAATAACAGATATTTGTTATTGTGATTTGCCAATAAAATTTTGCACCGCAGCACA